TGTGTGTGTGTGTGTGTGTGTGTGTGTGTGTGTGTGTGTGTGTGTGTATGTAGATGCAAAATACATACCAAATAAATACATGATAACTTGTGGGTGGATAACATGGAAAAAAAATGAAGAGATCAGGAAAGACATCATGTAGAGCATGGTGCTTGAGCTAAGTTGGAAGGAAACAAGAGATTTTATAGGCTAGAGGTGAATATAGACTAGATTTCAGGCATGTGGGACAGCCAGTGAGAAGTCAGAAATGGTCAAATACAGCACAAGAGGGCCATTTGGTTGGGTTGCAGAATGTACGAAGGCGAATGGTGTATATATAATAGACTGGAAAGGTAGGTTGGGGACTGGTTGTGAGAAAATTTAAATTGTCAGAGAGTTTATATTTGATCTTTAAGGCAATGGGAGTTTGTGGGGTAGGCTAATGTAAATGCTTATGTTTCAGAAAATCTAAGTTTTGGCAGTTATGTATGATGGTTTAGAGAAGATAGAGGCTCAAAGTAGGGGGACTACTTAGGAGAAAATTGCAAAAGTCCAGGAGAGAGCAGTTAAGAGCCTGAAACTATTGCCCTGCCACCTGGCTCAGCAGAAACCCTGGCACAGAGCTGACCAGTACAAAATTTAGTACTAGTTCATTTCAAGAAGACATGGCCACATTTTTCAGGTTACGAGGGGGCTATTTGCTTCAAGGGAAAAATGGAAGCGTTCCTGATCATTTTGTCTCACTTTCACACCACTTATCTCCTGGGGTAAATTAGTTCCAAAATTGTTACCCTATCAGAAAGATGGGTCATGGTGAAGTTTGGGACTTTCCTAAAGTCATATATAGGTGACCAAGCCAATCTTTGCCTTTGACTCTTGATGGGTGATCTTTTAAGGAAAATGGGGGGGGAGATTTGGAAGATGCCGTGGAGGTAAAAATCACATGATTTGGCAATTAATTGGATTTGGGGCATGAGGGGAGTGTGATGAATAACAACACTAAAGTTATGAACTTCAGTGACTGGATGGATAGGTGGAGGGAAGTCAGGCAGGGAGTAAATTTAGGGAAAAAAATAAGAGTTTTGCTCCAGATATACTGAATTTGAGATGCTATAGGACATCCAATTTCAAATGCCAAATGTCTAAGGCAGAAGGTCATTAGAAAATGAGTCCATATGAAATTTGAAATACAGGTGAAGTTAAAACCAATCTTACACTAACCCTGGAAGAGTTTTTAGAGTTATAAAAATTTATAATTATAACAAGAACAGAAACCACTGATGCTTACCCACATAAATAGATTGACTCCATTCACTCCAAAGTCCATTCTTTCTACAACTGAAATGCACTGTAGCTCTTATTTTTAAAGAATGCTTACAAGTAGGATCAATCACCAAGTTGAAAGAATTTCCTTGAATTTTCTGTATCTAAACAAACAAATTAAAAATTTAACAAATCTGTTGTTGAAAACTCTACTTTCAGCCAATCTATAAACGTTTATTAAGACCTCTTACATGTCAGGCATTGGGATAAGTGCTGGGGATAAAAAGAAAGGCAAAAATAGTCTAATGGGGGAGACAATATGCAAAAAAACTCTGTACAAATAACTGGAGAAATTGGAAATAATCGATAGATAGACGGTCATAGAATTAAGGGGGATCAGGAAAACTTTCTATAGAAGATGGGAATTTAGCTGCAACTTGACAGAAGCCAGGAGATGGAGATGAGAAGAGAACTCCAGGAATGGGAGACAAGCGGTAAAGATGCCTGATGCCAGGCGATAAGAGTTTCTTGTGTGAGGAACAGCAAGGAGTCTAGTGACTGGATCACAGAGCACATGGTGTATGTGTGTGTGTGTGGTATAAGAACGCTGGAAAGGTAGAGAGAGGGGCAGGTATTGAAGTGTTTTTAATGCCAAACAGAAGACCTGGCATTTTACCCTGGAGGTGACAGGAAACTGCTGGAGTTTATTGAGTAGGAAGGTGACATGATCAGCCTTGTACTTTAGGAAGATCACTTTGGCAACTGAGTGGAGAATGGACTGGAATGGGGAGAGACTGGCTAGGGAGATCAAATAGCAGGCTGTTGCAACACTCCGGGTATGAGGTGATCAGGGTCTTCACCAGGGTAGTAGCAGTGTCCAAAGACAGAAGTGGGCATATATAAGAGAAGTTATAAAGGTAAAAATCAAGAGACCTTGGCAAAAGAATAGATATAAATGGATAAAAGAAAGTAAGAAGTCAAGGATGAAACCTAGGTTGTTAGCCAGGGTGACTGGGTAGATGTTGGTGCCCTCAATAATAATAGAGAAATTCAGAAAAAGAGGGGGTTTGTGGAATAAATAAAGAGTTCAGTTTTGGACATGTTGAATTTAAGATGTCCATAGAACATCCCGTTCAAGAAGTTAGGGCTGGACAAGTAAATCTGAGAAGCATCTGCATAGAGATGCCCAAGAAAGACTTCCTCAAGAGACATACAAATGAAAGATGGCTGGGGAAAGCCACGTCTAATTCACAAGAAAGTAAAGCAACGCATTAAATTCTGACTATGTATGGCGCTTCTACAATGTACTACTCTAACACTTTGTCTGAGAGGGTAGGTGAACCCCCTGAGTTCTTGAAGACTATGCCAAAGGCTCAAACTGGCAGAATCTTTCATTCTAGAAAGGTTTTGAATGTCATTCTGGCGAAAGATCAGCTTGGCTTTTTGGAGACCAGCCTAGCTTAGTGTGGAGAGGCTCATCATCAGTAGGAGGGCCACTTGGCAATGAATTTTTTGGCCATAGCAGCCCACACAATGAAAAATAAGAAATGGACGTTAGCCCTCTGCAGGTTCCCTATTTGTGCTATAACATTAGCTCAGTGATAGAAAACAGGGCGAGTGGGGATTAGATCATAAATACTAACTTAACCGTTGGAACTCAAAATAAAAGATCCATTTCGAGTGACCAGTGGATGAATGATTGGAGGAATTAAATTGCATAAGCCATTCTTTTCCAACTATAGATAATGTCAAAAGGCAAAATGATATTGTAGCAAAAGGGAAAGATGGCCCACATGCTTTCTTTGGAGATTCAGATAAATGAGCTGGTAGGGTTGGTTTTAGTGTGTTTCAGGACAACAGGAAATATCATTTCTTAGGACACGTCATCATTTCACATTCACATTTCGTTGTACTCAAATAGATTTGTGATCATCATTTGGGATTTCCCCTCCAATGCTACAGAATGCAGCTCCTCTAATCTATTCCTGCCCAACCTGCCTCATTTCTGTCCACGTCCTCCCACAAGCTCTCCAAGGCAGTATCCCCAACATGCTGGATACTGTGAACTAGACATGGCTTTCCCCAGCCATCTTTCATTTGTATGTCTCTTGAGGAAGTCTTTCTTGGGCATCTCTATGCAGATGCTTCTCAGATTTACTTGTCCAGCCCTAACTTCTTGAACAGGATGTTCTATGGACATCTTAAATTCAATATGTCCAAAACTGAACTGGAAGTCTTCCTCAGTTTCTCCCGACAGCTCCAGAATACCAGTGGAGCACCTAGAAGATGTCTACCAGGAACTCCTTTTCCTTATATCACGAAACAGCTGATTTTTCTCTATCATATATTTCTCTGATAACATCCTTTTTGCCTGATAATCTTCAAAGTTCATTTTTTGTTGTATTTGGCAGCCTTCTCACACCCACTATGCACTGTTCTATTGCCCTCTGTGTGATATCCCTTTTTAATTCTTCAGAGATGATTTTGTTCATGTCTCTTAGGCGCATAAAAATGCTCATATTAAATAGCTGCAAAAATATCCCCAGGAAAATATAAAGTTTATGACAACTGTCACCGAGGATGAGGAGATTTTGAAATTCTGCTAAAAATCTGAAAAATTTCAAAATTAAATCACATTCTAATGCTTATTTGCTTCAGTGAAAAGGCAGGCATATGGAAAGAATAAAGAATATGTTGAAAAGCATGGTTCAGGAATAAGAAATAAAACATAGCAAAGGATTGTAAGCTATACTGAAGTCTCATGCTGACATATCATGAAGTTTTCTTTTTAAAAACAAATTGTGAAGTGCTGGATATGCAAACACCAGGAAGAAGAGGAGGAGAGAAGAGGGGGGAGGGAGGGAGGGAGGGAAGGGAGCAAGGAAAGAAGGAAGGAAGGAAACATTTTGACAAAAAGAAAATCACTTGTTACTGATATGAGAGTCATTTCCAAATCAGTCATATACAACCCAACTACCAACTTGTTAGAGCAAAAATCAAAATCAATAACAAATTAGAAGAAGAAAAATAAGAAATGGCATGCAATTGAAGCAAGCCCAATTAGAATTAAATAAGCTTTTACCATTAAACATGAGAAAGGGAAAAAAGAACAGATATGGACACAGACTACCATCATTTTCTAAGAAAGTTTAGGTTTAATGGATATAAATCAATACCCACAACAAGGAGACTGAAAAAGTCCAGAAGACTCTACAGTTAGCAAACAATCACCTTGCCAAGTAGAGAGATGTGGAAGCCAAAGGCAACATCAAATTAGAATATAAAGTCAGTTTTTAAATCTTATAGAGGAAAATGGTATAAGGTCATGAGCAGTATAAGCTTATAAATTACCAAGGGGCAATAGAAGGAAAAACAAGCATACAAAAATGTAGTGCAAGTCCTAATTAAATCCGATTATCTCGAAGACATTAAAGAATAAACTTGAAGTAGACAATAAACCGACAATATGGACAGATCTGCAATGATTTCTATAATAAACATTTTTCTCCATCAATAACACTAAAACTGGCATATTCTAATGCTAATATCAAAGTTTCTGATATCCTCCAGCATTAGGAAGTGGGAATGGTACTGAAGAAAACAGGGGTGAAAAGAGCAACTGACTAGAGAGGAAATTCATGTTGGAGGTCACACGGGTGAGGGCTCAGTTCTCAAAATACCTAACAGAAGGGAGAATACCAGAGAATACCAAAAGATTGGAAAACTTCTCATGCCTTAATTTTACTCAAAAAGGCAATCAATATATCAAGTAATGCCAACCTGGACGCCTACTTTCAATTCAATACAGCAAACATTTATGGAGTGCCTACTGCATACATGCCAATGTGCTAGGTTCTTGAGATACGAAGCAAAAACGAAGCAGCCTCTTCCCTTGAATGAATAATCTATACACCTAAGACATCCCTGCATAAGAAAAGGCAAAATTTTCTAATACTATGCTAAACCAGAACATGTTATTATGCTCACACAATTAATTGAAAGATACAGACAATATGATTGCTCTGTACTATTTAATATAATTTGCCTTGAATGTTCTCTTACGAGATGTTACTAATTCATAGGCCCAAACAATACAATATTTCTTGAAATATATAGTAATAAATATAATTTTTTTAACAAAATGTACCTGATTTATAACTTGTCTTTACTTCACTGTCACTTCCTACCACCTTCTTCTACACTGAACACTCCCTTTCAAAAAAGAAAAACAACCAAGCAAAAGCATTTGATACAGAGACATTTCTAACAACGTGTAAAAGATTCTGACCTAGTTTTCTCATACCTCAGCTAAGACGTGTAAGGTATGTATCATTATCTCTTCTCTGAGACCTTCATTGGTTTTCCAATATTCAGATTTAACTTCCTTCTACTAAATTTTTTCATTTACATTGTTTGTTATGTATATTTTTCTATTGGACCTGCTTATTTAACTCTGTATTATTTCATACAAACCCCCTCATTTTTCCAAATTCCTCATATTTGTCATTTCTTACAGTACAATAATACTTCATTACTTATTACTTTCCCTTACCCATTCCCAACCCACTTTTCTCATGAATTTCTCTATTTCTGTCAAGAGCACCATCCTTCCAGGTACCTTGGTTTTTAGTTTTGGTGTTATCTTTGACTCTTGATGCTCATTGACACCAAATATCCAATCAGTCATCAAATATTATCATTTCGACCTCTACCATATCTCTCCAATCTATTCCCTTCGTTGCCCTCATACCTCCATCACCCTGGTTCAGACCCTTATCATCTCTTGCCTGAACTAGTGTAATGGCTTCCTAATTGGTCTTCTAACTTCAGTTCATTCCCCACTTTAATCCCTCTTCCAAACAGCCAACCAAGGGATTTTCTTAAGATGTAAGTCTAATAATGTCACTGCCCTATTCAATAACCTCCAAGGGCTTCTGATTATCTCTAGGAGCAAATATAAAAGCTGGTTGTTGGTTTTTTTGTTTTTTTTTTTTTGTTGTTGTTGTTATCATTTAAGCCCTTCATGACTGAGATTCAACTTATCTTTTCAGTCTTATTATACTTTACTCCACTTCATATATTTTATGATCTCACTAATCTGGTCTTCTTAATGTTCACCAAACATCACACCCTATCTCCCACTTTTCTGCCTTTCTGGGGTACTTTCTTGCACTGGCATGCCTAAAATACAATCCTTCTGTATGACCATTTCTCAGATTTCTGAGAAATTCTCATTATTTCTCAGTTTTCTTTCAATATTCACCTCAAGTACCACCTTCTACATGAAGACTTTCCTGATCTCACCTGCTGCTACTGCCTCCTATCTGCACCCAGTCACCTTGTATCTACTTTTTATTTCTTTTGTATGTACAAAAGAAATGTATGTACAAAATTTCTTTTGTACAGCTAGACTGTAATGCCCTCAAAGGTAATGATTGCTTCAATTTTGTCTTTGTGTACTCAGTGCCTGGTGTATAATCCTTGCTTAACAAATGTTTGTTGATTGATTGATTCATTCATCAATTGGGAGAATGGTGATACTGTTATTCAAAACAGAATGACAAGAGAAAGAATAGGTTTGGTTGGAGAGGAATATGATGAGTATGGTTTCAGAGTTTGAGGTGCCAACAGGATATAAAGATGAAGATATCTATCAGGCAGCTGGAAATATGAGTCTGGAGCTCAGAATGGACTTGAGGGCTGGAGATATGAGGTGATCTACATAGTGGTACAAGTTGAAGGCATAAGAATGGATGATATTGTCAAGGGAAAAAATACAAAGATTTTTTAAAAGACCATAAAGTTAATTGGAGACAGAGCTTTGGGGAATTCATACTTTTAGGGGCAAGAATAAATAAGAATAGACAGAATATAGTGGTAGAGGTACAAAGTGAACCATCAGTGTCCTATAGCATAGAAGTCAAAGGAGTCAAGAGTTTTAAGGAAAAAGTGATTAATAGTGTCCAATGGTATACAGATGTCAAGAATCAAGAAGTGGCTAAATTGAGGCAAAGGATGACCTACTTTTTGAATGGGCATTGCCTCAGAAAAACTAAGATCTAGGAAAGACCTTAGCTTAAAAAGGCCAAGCTCTCCCACTGCATCTGGGGCCATTGTCCTAGACTTATGTCTTGCCATTGGACTCCAAAAGACAGTGATGTCTGGAGAAGAGAGTAAGGCTGAAAACTTTATGCAGCTTAGCCTCACTTAAATCTAATTCACTTCTGAATCAAGACATCACTCTCCTGATGTCTTTGGTCTGGTCCTCTTTAAGAATAAAAGACGAACAATAAACAACAATGTCAAGGAATATGAAGATAAAAAAAAGATTTTTCTTTTTGGTAGGAAGTCACTGTTTAAATTAAAACTAGTTTTGTAGATCAATGAGCACAAAAGCCAAACTGTTAGGGATGGAGGAGTAAAAGAATAGTAAAGAAGCTAGACATAATAAGTAGAGACTGCTGTTTCTAAGAGTTTGGCAGTGAAAGAGAGGAAAGAAATGTACCTGTGGACAGAGTTTTGTCGGGGGAAGTCAACTAGTCTGTAGAGACTGAACCCCCAGCCTTGCCTTTATACACATCATGGTTCAACCAGGGAAATAGTAGATAATTAACAAAGACCTCCAAAGTATATGCAACACCATCTATTAGAATTACCTTTGAATAATCCCTTCTTATATTGTAGATGTTCACTTCATAATCAAAACATTGTTTAGGAAAGTTAGAAACTGGTTTCTCCCATTGTATAAACAGACGGTTTCCTTCCAGTTTTGCAGTGACATTCACTGGAGGATTCACTTGATCTAGATTTGAAAAAAAGAACCAATTTCATGAGAATAGATGCTCCCAGATGCCATTTCAAAATTGTAAGGCATTTCTAGGATAGAATGTGAAATGTCTACAACTGCAGGAGCTAGCAGGGATCCTGGCAACCAAATACATTTTTAAACATAATTAACTATCTCTGATGCAGCATAAATTGAATCACTCCTTGCAAGACAAAGATACCCACCCATGATCAAGGTCATCTCCAAGGTGAAGGACACAGTTTCTCCTGGATAGGGTCCTCACTCAGGAGAATTCTTCCTCAACCTCAAAGATGCCATGTTCCCTACTCTGAATAGAATTTAAAGTTATGGCTCTACTCCCAATGAGACTTTACAATGCCCTCTCAGTTGCATTATAAGGCCTTATTCTCCATATGACTCAGTCAGGGTAGACAATTAAGGACGGTGAGTCACAATGAATGGAAAGTACACGGAATTAGGAATGAGAGGACCTAGGTTTCCATGATTAACTACATGACCTTGGATTGATTGTTCAATTCCCTTTTTGAGGTCTTAGTGACCACATCTGTAAAATTATGGGGTTAGATAAGATCTGAGATCCCTTGTAGCACAAAAATCCTCTGATTCAACAGAATCATTCATCTGTATAAAGCTTTTTCCCTTTTGAAAGTACTTTTCATCTGTTCTCTCACTTGACCTTCTCAGGGAGGTATTATGAGGAAGAGAAAGGAAGTAGGTGTTACTGCCTAGATCACAGGTCAGATCATTAAATTAGAGCTGAAGAGATTAAGAGCTCTAGTATAGCCCCTCTGTTTTGATAGATAGGGAAACTGAGGGCCAAAGAGGTGAAATAATTTGCCCCAGGTAACCCAGTGGAGTAACAAAGTCCAGACTAGAATCTAAATCTCTCTATTCACAGTTTAGGGCTTTTCGTCTCAATATCATTTGACTAGCTCATTTTCCTGGTTTTGGAAACGTTAAATGCCTCCTTTTGGGTTATCCAAATAATGAGTAGAAGGTATGGATAGGGACTGAACCTGTGATTTCCCAGATGAGGAAACTTTCTCCGCCAATACAGGTCGACGCTTTCTCTGAAACATTAAAGAGTTGCCTAGAGCAGTGGTTTCAAACTCAAATAGAAACCCTGAGGGCAGCATATTGATTTAGAAAGTCATAAATTAACATTATATATGTTATATTATATTTTAATTTTTTTAGACATTTCCTGATTATATTTTTTTCATCTGATTTAAGTGGGCACTTACTAGTTTTGCAGGCTGCTTGTGGAGTTTGACACTGCAGGCCTTGAGCACTGAAAGGTTAAGTAGGGGTGGGGAACTTGTGGCTGTGAGGCCCTCTAGGTTCTCAAGTACAGCCCTTTGACTGAAATTGACTGACATTCTGTGAAGCTTGGATTCAATCAAAGAGCTGCACTTAAGGACCTAGAGGGCCACAGGTGGCCTCAAGGCTACAGGCTCCCCACCCCTGAAGGATTTTGCCCAGGGTCACCCTTCCAGTATGTATCAGAGACAAGATCTGAACCCAGGTCTTCTTGGTTTCAAGGCCAGTCCTCTATCCACTACACCACACTGCCTATGGTAGAATTAAGATTCAAATTCATCTCTTCTGACTCTCAGCTCTGGGTCCTTTCCACTAGATCATCAGTCTCACTCTTTGTTAATAAAGTGAAAGTAAGTAAGCCTATTAGTAGACCAATCAAAGGCCATGAATAATATAAGCACCAGACTTGAAGCCCAAAGACTTGAGTTTGAGTCCTAGCTCTAATAACTCTGCGACCTTGAGCAAGTTATTCCCTGAGCCTCAGTTTCCTCATCTGCCAAATGTGTGGGGTGGATTTGATGAATTCGTTGCTTCCTTCTAGCTCTGATCTTCATGATTCTATGAATTGTCACACTCTAACTGACCCCCATTTCATTAGATTTAGTTTTGTCACCTATGCCTTTTTGCCCACATTTCTGCAATTGATATTTTAGAATACCCTAGAAAATCTGTCAGTGGTCATAACTGCAATACACAGTCTTGCAAATACAGTGGATCTTATTATGTCACGTCTACTCTGGACATATAAATCATAGAAAATGTTGAAACTTAACCATTAAATGTTGATGCAACCCATTAGGCCCATAGTATGGTGTTAATTCTGTTTACTTCCCTCTTATAAAGAGGCCCTGGTCCAGTAGAAAGAGACTGGAAATAGAGTTAGAAGAGGCTCTGCCATTTACAGCTGTGTGAACTTGAACAAATCATTACTGCACTAGGTCTCTTTATCTATAAAATGGGGATGATAAAATTCATCTGCCTGATCAAACTGACAAAGTGGTCGTAAGAGTAAAATGAAAATATACACACGTGTGACAGAACCTTAAAATTCTGAAATGTAATAGCTATATTGCCTATACAAAATTATGTAATTATAAAATGCAAATCATTATTATAAAGGTCTTCCATTCCAACTTTAGATTTGGGGAATAAAGAGTAGCACAGTGTACAAAGGGCTAGTCTTTGAGTCTGAAATATCTGGGTTTAAATCTTGCTTTAGACACTAGCTAGGCAATCCTGGGCAAGTCATTTAAGTGTCTTGGTCAGTTTTTTCATCTGTAAAATGAGGGGGCTGGTTGGCCTCACGGGCCTCTAGGGTTCCTTCTGATCCATGATCCCACGAGTCTTCCTTACCAATAGCATGAAGGTCAAACAACTGATCCAATGGTTTGATGGCAATTTGTTTGCTTGAGCCATTAACATGTACTGCCAGCTGTCCACGCCCTTTTCTATCTATGGCAGTCTCTGGAAACCAGCAAGCTATATTTCTATTCCATGAATCTTTTCTATATTCTTGGCATTCTTCAGTGTAGATGTCAAACCTAAATTATAATACAGATAAGTATTATAAAACTGGAGAAAATTAGTTATTTGCATATATGTCAATAACGAAAAGGCAACTGGGTGGCTCAGCAGATGGAGTGCTGGGCCTGGAGTCAGGAAGACCTGGGTTCAAATCAGGCCTCCAACACTTACTAGCTGTATGACCCTGAGTAATTTAGTCTGTTCACTTTAATCCACTGGAGAAAGAAATGGCACACCACTCCAGCATCTTTGCCAAGAAAACACCATGGACAACATTAGCGTGCTGTGGTCCACGGGTTCATGAAGAGTCAGACGTGACTGAACGAATGAGTAACAAATAGAGACAAACCTATAGAACAGGAAGTACTGAGCGTCCTCTGGGGCATTCCTGCCAACAAACCAGGTGCAACGGAGAGACACATCACCCCACAAGATGTTAGTGACACAAGTCAGATTCGTAACTGAGGTCCCAGGAGCTCCTGTGAGGTCAAAACAATGGCAATCAGGGATATCCCTGAGAATGGGAAGCACTGAAACAGAGTGGATAAAAAGCTGGCCTCAAAGGCAAGAAGACCCTTGTCACCTCTCTCCTAGGCTATTGTGATGGTCTCCACATAGGTCACCCTACTTCCAGTCTTATTCATCCCTTTTCCATTCCGTCATTCACAAAGCTCACAAAATCATGTGCCTAAAGCACCACTCTGATGATGTCATTCTCTCAGTTCAAGAATCTCTAGTTCCCTGTTCCCTCTCAAATTATCAGAAATTTAGGACAAAATGCAATCTCTTCGTCTGGGGAAGAAGGAGAGGAAGGAAAGCAGGGGGCACCTGAAGAATGAGTAGGATTTAGATAAAAAGAATAAGATAGCCATTCTAGGCAGGGGAAAGTATTTGAACAATGGTTGGAGAACACCAGAGCTTTTGGGGGAGACAGTGAGGCCAATTTGGCTAGAGTAAAGGATTTGTATGGGGAAATAGTGAGAGCCTGGAGCAGAGCTAACACCTCTCTAATGCAAATAGGAGCTGGATTGTTGGGGATTGCTCAGATGGGAGAGAAACCCTCATCAAGCCCACAGCTGCACTGGCTCTATATCTCTGGGAGCTCCAGGAATACATTTGGCTCCCAGAGCAATGGGCTTAAAAGACTCAATGAAACCGAGTTAAAAAGTAACACCCTGGAGAGCTCCATGCTCTGGAAGCTGATCTGCTGAGATTTTTTATGTCTTGGTGTCACAAATGCTAGCAAGCCTTCAGGCCAGCAATAAAATTGTCATAAGTGAGGAAGAAGGTATGTTACTGTCAACAGTAATCCCTAAGAATGCAGCTGCAGAAAGTCCCTGAGCAGAAGAAAAATATGGGCAACTGAAAAATTCATCAGATGGGGCAGGCTAACAGCTTGTTTGGCAGACAATTCAAAATGCTGGGACAGAAACAAGCTGGTCGAGTGAATGTAAAGGTATTTTTAGGGACATAAGGTAATACATTAGGTGAGAAAGTATGTTCAATGACTGATTTATGGTGACTTAACCAACTAGATCAACCATTATAAAACCAATCCAGTTGTGCATAACTATTGTGGTCTACATGAGGAAATCTTTCCATTTACAGAAAGACTAGATGAATTGTGCTCAAATCCATTTTGAAGTTATCAAGGGAAAGTTCTCAAAACCTTCATGTCTTAGAAATATCTTTTAATGGTTTGCTTTGGACTTATTCTGCTTAGTTTACATCAGAAGTGACTTTTTTTATTATTAACGATTTTCCTTCAAATTGTGCTCAAACCTGGTTGGGAAGAAACTGCGTTGGTTTCTAAACTTGATTCAACCTGTGGTTGGCATGGATTCTTGTCCACCTAGCACCCCTATCCAAGAGTGACTAGCACTATGCTCCTTGTAGGTGTTCCATGAATATGTGTTGGACGAGTAGAAAAGTTGATCCATTAGCCACAAAGAATATGAAGATGATGTTTCTCAAAGAATGAGAAGGTCCTTCAAATTTTGTTTTCAGTTACTGATATAATTCTAGAGCCATGGAACTGTATAACATGGCTAGTTATGGTTCCTTCCAGGCCTATTACATAGGCAAGATGGCTGTTTAGAAATACATATTAATAAAACAAAACTAAGAAGACGGCTGCATCACAATGGAGAAAATGAGATGCGATGATAATGATAATGATGCTGATGATGGTGATGATGATGATGATGATGCCATCTATATTTTTTCCAAGCATTTTCATGCTTTTCATCATCACTTCTCTTTCTGTCTAAAAACTAGGCCAACTGTTTCCAGGTGAGTTCCTGTGTCCCAGAAATTGAAAGTATATTTCTTTACTTTCAACTTTTCTTTATTTTCTTTTCCAAGTGTTCAGCTGAAAGTAGCATTAATTAAAAGGTTTATATACCCTAAATTATTAAGCCAATCAGTGGTTCTCATACCCTTAACCTCAGATGATTCAGTCTTAATGTCATCTCTAATTCTGACAACTAAGTTCCTATTATCAGTTTTAGAATGCCCAAACCATTAACATCAGTCAGTGAACAACATCAAGGGTGCAGAGGGGTGGGAGTGGGAGGGAGTTTGGATCCCAACTCAGACCCTTGTGAGTCATGTGACCTTGGTCAAGTCATTTAACTGCTGTAAGCCCCAGATATAAAATGGAGATAATAACACACATACAACCACCTCACAGGGTTCTTGTTGAGGAGAAACAGCCATAGAAAAATGAGGTCCCTTCTAGCTGTTGTATACTATGAACCCAACAGGTGCCAAAGGAGGGACTTTAAATCTAGTTCATTTACTGGCCATTTAGAAAAGACAAATCCAGATCATCCCAGACAGAAGACTAGCTAGCTGGATGGATAGATGGATAAATAGAGGTATATATAACTTTATCAAATATGCATCCATATAATATTTTATAAAATTTAATGTCAGGAACTTCTCCACTTATTTAAATCTTCTGAGTTAGAAACACAGAAAATGTGTAAACTGCTACCATCAGGTACTACTTGGCTTTTAACACCTAGAATAGTGATTCCTAATCTTTTCATAAAAGGAGGTTCCTTTTTACAGTCAAAAATAAATGTTGCAGATATTTCTGGACATGGCTAGTGTGGGAATTTATAATGGACTTTATGTTTCTTGTTTTCTCAGTGGGAAGTGAAGGAGAGGTGGGAGAGAGAGAATTCAGAACTGAAAATAAAATAAAATTGATTTTTTAAAATAAAGGATATAATTGAGGGGAAAAAATGTTGCAGACCCTCACATGGTAATAGTTGTACAAGTAATGCCTATTTATTGAAAAAAAATAACAAAAATGACTATGGATTTAATAATGTTTTTAAGTATATGCATATACTAGCAATCACATCAGATTCCATACATATTTGAAAAACTGTAATACATGGGAGACATCATTCAATCATTCTACAGAAGGTATGTTTAGTGCACATGTGGACTGACAGACCCTTTGTAATAACTTTGGTCCCCTTCCCCATCTCCACTTCCACCTGTCCAGGTATCAGAGAATTTTAGATTTAGAAGATATCTCAGGGACCACCTAGTCCAACCTATACCTTAGAAAAAAATTCCACTACAGCATACTCAGTAAATGATTATCCAGCCTCTGCTTCACGACCTCCAATGACAGGGAACTCACTACCTCCACAGGCAGCCTATTCTGATTTTAATTGTTAGGAAGTTTTTGTTTATATTTGGCCTAAATTTGCCCCCTAGCCTATTCTTCTCTCTGTAACTTTCACATGCTACTTCTGGTTTTACCTTTGGAAAGAAACAGAATAAATTTAATCCCTCTTTCACATGGAAGTCTTTTAAATACTTGAAGACCACTACCACAGACTCCCTGAATCTTCTTTTCTCCAGAATAAACAATCTCAATTGCTCCAATTGATATTTGTATTAACATAGACTAAATGCTTTTTAGTATCCTGATAGCCTTCTTCTAGATATTCTCCAGGTTAAATTGTGCTGCCTAGAACTGAACAAAATACTCCACATATAGTTTGACCAGGGGAAAGTATAGTAGAGCTATCACCTCCTTATGCCTGTGTAAGGGTGGGTTCAAAACCATCCCATTTGACTAGGGTACCTTGACTAGCTGCAAATACTTTTTGGTTAATTCAAACAATCATGTATACCAAGATAAGCAATATCAAAGTTCAAAGACTGGAGATATCAAGGAGAATCATTGGTTCTATAGAAATCCCAGCTGGAGACCCAGGCTGATGGAAGTCCCAAGAAAAGGTCAGCTCTTTCCTCAATCTCCCCCCGCCCCCATGCCTATTTGTCCACAGACACCATAATATATGGTGTTTCACTATCTGAATGTTCCAAGTAAACTGAATTTTGCCTCAACCACAAAGAGGCCAAGGGTTAACTAGAACTCTCCCAGAATATCAGGAACTTTCCTAACTTGGAAGCTGGAGCGACTGTGACTAAACTCAGAATTTTTCAACTAAAATAAATTCCCTAAAGTCAAAGAGGAGGAAACAATGTGAATGTAAAGACCCATTTCATTGCCTCCTATATTATCATCACAGGCTGTTATACTTATAAGCTATACCTTTCTTAATCAAGTCAAAAATCACATTAGCTTTCTGAGTCAATACATCACATCATTGACTAATATTAAACTTACAGTTCATAAAAAACACCCAGATCTTTTCTTTTACAAACTACCTCAAAATCATAATGATGATAGCATTTACAAAGCACTTTAAGATCTGCAAAGTGCTTTGCAAATATTATCCCATTTTATCTTTACAACAACCCTGTGAATTAAAGGCTATTGTTATTCCCATTTTTTCAGATATGGAAAATGAGACAGAGGTTAAGTGACTTGCCCAGGACCTCTCCTACAATGTACTTATAAAGTCATTTCTTTGGAATTCAAGTGCAAGACTAAAATTTTATACTATTAGATTCAGCCCCACGTTTTAGTTTGTCAGGATCTTTCTGGATCCCAGTGTATCAGTTATCCCTCCCAGCTTTGTGTCATCTGCAAATCTGATAAGCATGGCACTATGCCTTCAGCCAAGTAATTGCAATTACAATTGCAAAGGACCATTTGTCAGGCATTTGTGTTTCTCCCTTCCCAGGTTAACAATCTCTTTCCTCAGCTGAAAAAGGTGGAGGGGAGGGGGGAGAGGAAAATAAAGATGAAGCAGCATTGCCCTCTATCTATTGTCATTATCCATCTGTACACCAAACAGAAATCCCATCCCTTCCTTGATCCCCATCCTTCCTCTAATGTAGCTTTAATAATTAGAGCTAGCATTTACGTGGCTCCTTAAGGCTCACAAAGTGCTTTGTACTTTTATTATCCCCATTTTACAGATGAAGAAACCAAAGAAGAGAAATGTTAAGTGATTTGTCCAGGATCATACATTTAGTAAGTGTCCAAGACGGGTTAGAAATTCAGTTTTTCCTGACATTCTATCCACTTTGCAACTTTGCTGCCTAAAAAAAGACTACCTCTACCCCACCCCACCCCACCCCACACTTTTTGTTGTCCCTAGCTTTCCTTGCCAGACTAAGCCTATTTTAAACTTTAGTGCTCCTGACACTATTTTTAGAACTATGCCATGTCTCTGATCATCCTCTTTTATCCGCATTTGTTTTCATCTTCTGTACAAAACATTTTAAAATTTAAGTTTATTGGTTAGTGCTGTGTGCATCCAAATGTCTCTCTTTAGACTACTTCAGTTCTTTCTGATCAGAATTATTTTCTTCCCTGTCTTCGAAATTTCATCCTTGAGTGTTTCCCAGTCCTTGTGAGTTGACTTATCATGTAGAATTTTATTCCATGATATCCTACCTAATCTTCCTCTGAATCCTTTGACATCTGCTCTTCACAAATCCAGAGTACGTTTCAGATGACGACTGGCTTTAACCTCCTTTCTCTATCACAAACTCTAGGATGAAAAGGTCACCTTCCTCAAATTCCCTGTCTCTTCACCCCAGCAACCAGTTCTTCCCCGTTAGTGAGAACCAGAATGCAAAAGAGAATTTTCCTTTGTTGAATCCTTTACTTTTTGAAGGATAAAACTTTCACTAAGACTAATCAAGAAATTTAACTGAAGAGGAGGAAGAAAGGGAGGGATAGAGAACGAGAGAGAGCAGAAGAGAGGAGGAGAGAGAGAAAAGGGAAAGAAGGGAAGAGGAAAGGAGGGGGGGAAGGAAAAGAGGGAGAGATAATAGGAAAGGGGGAGGAAGAGGAGAGTGAAGAGAGAGGGGGGGGAGACCATGGCAGTTAAAGGAGAAGGAGGGAGAGCTCCCTCCAGTAGATATCTGGATGTGCTAAGTCTCCCCTCACTACCATATTATGGCTCTATCTGCTTACAACCTGTTTCTCAGTATCTTCATCTGTTTCCCCCATCTGTTCAGGTGGTCTGCATGATCCACTATCAAAATAATTTCTTCTCATTCTTTGGTCATCTGTCAGATGATCTCTGTTATGCTTCCCCCATCCCTCTAGTTCCTAGGTTATGATAACCCACTCCTCTTTTTATCTCTTCTATTTCTTTTGAGGCAGCTAGGTGGCACAGCAAATGCCACACTGGACCTGCATTCAGGAATTAAAATCCCACTTCATTTACTTACTGCCTGTGTTACCCTAGGCAAGTCACTTAACCTCTGACTGCCTCAGTTTCATCATCTGTAATGGTGATAATGGGGATAATAATAGCACCTTCTTCCCAACATTGTTGTGAGGACAAAATTAAATGATATTTGTACAGTACTTGGAAAACCTTAAAATATATAAATACTAACTCTATCATTATTACTATTTTGAATAAATATCAAATAGGGTGGTCTCTTTACAAACGACTCTCTTTTCAGTGACAATTTCAAAGATTTGGACCCAAATTCCAGATGTGAGTTTCATCTCATCAAGTATTGGTGATATCTATTGGTTCAAATTTGCTTCAACCTCTGCTTCATCTTGCTTGTTGCCTAAAAAAATGTGTGTGTGTGTGTCCACCGACCACATGCCGTGGTTAGGAACCACTGATGTAGAGATGATAACCAGTGGCAACCCTCAAAAAATGATGAAGTAGGAAAAAGGTTACTTGGGGATTTCCCTTCTTATACAAGCCCTTTCTCCTACTCTCAGACTCCACAAACATCTAGTGCATCTTGCTTCTGGCCACATGTGGATCTCTACCCAGATCAGTCCTTCCTCCACAGTGCCCGATGCTTTCTCTCTACTTACTCCCTCCCAATTAAAACTTCTCTTCCCTTTGTCCCTTTCCTTCTTAGCTCCTTGTCAAGTTGAAAAACAATCTAAGAAACTAATTCCTAATAAGATGTTAATGACAGACAATAGCTTAATGTGTTGTCCCTATAGGATGTTTGCATTTTAACTCTAATTGAATTCTTCCAACTCCTAATTAAGCATTCTTCCCCTATACCATTATGTGGTTAACTGGATGACTTTGCTTTATTATTTCTATTTAGGATTTTGTATAATTCTTAGAGTCCTTTCCTCCCTGCCCTGTGATACTTCTAAGGCCTCATTGTTTCCAACAAAATTATTAAAATTTCCATTCAATTTTGATTATGATTAAAATCACAATTCAATTTTGTGACAAATTCTTGTCATCCATTAATTTGGCAAGATTGTTTTTCCTGGTTCTCAATATATACAACACACAATAAACAATCAAAATGGAGCTTAGTCATGACTGCAGCTCCCATGCATTCATATGCATGCCTGCCCACTTTGAGAGAAATAAATTCGGCTGCATACAGCCCAATTCTGTTTGTCTTTCTTAGACCTAACTCTGGCGGTTGAAATCCTCTTAAGAATTTTAACAAGTGATAAAAGTAGCATTATGTAGACTAAAACTAAACCACCCTATACACCCAAGGATGAATATGTCTGCTCCCCTCCCTTCTTGAGATTAAGGTTTTAATTCTTTCTCATACCAGTGACAAGTTGAGACGTTCCTGTCTACTTGTTCATTTCACGTGTTCTATCAAACCAATAAATCCACTGGCTGAGTAGAGCAAATGCCAATAAATGCATTTTAACAAGCATACTGGGTGGCTCAATTTACAACTTCACTATGAAAAAAATACAATAATAGGAACATATTAAGAATGAGCATGTCTAAGATTAATGTCAAATACATGTATTTATTAAAAGCCTAAAGCCAATCATGTGCAGTGTGTCAAGGTAAAACACAACAAAACTACTGCAAATATCTCAGTGTTATACCCAACAATTCTCTACGAAAATTCCTTAAGGAAGTAGAAATAAATCTCCACTAGGGGCAGATACATGGTACAGTGTACAGAGCACTGGCCCTAGAGTCATGAGGACCTGAGTTCAAATCCAGCCTCAGACACTTGCTTAGCTGTGTGACCCTGGGCAAGTCACTTAACCCTGATTGTCTCAACAATAATAATAAAAAACAAAACAAAACAATCAAAGCTTATCCCAGATCATATCTTACCTGGAGGGGCTGGAAGCTCAGCTGAAACCCAACTACTTTGGAAAAAACTGGAATCGCAATGAAGAATTGTCTGCACACTTGCTGAAAATCCCTGGTGAAGTACACTTACACTTCTGCTTTGGGTCTTTTGAGTTTCATACTGGAAATAAATCCCAGAAACCATGAAACATGGCAAGGAAACAACCATAATAAGAAGACTACTTCAATTAGATAAACATTGTCTCCTATTTCTGAAAACAACGTCTAACCACAATGCAACAAAACAGCTTTGCTAGGTGATATCTGCAGCTGGATAAAAATCAACATTCAAACTTCCTGTGGATTTCTGCATTGTTTGTGTGACGGGCTCTTCTGTTTTCTAATTTAGATAAAAAATATTTCCAAAAAACCAAGCTGCAATTCTAGCACATGTTCTTTCTCAATAGTAAGAATTTAGAATACAGCTAAATTTCATTTGCTTTTAATAGTGCTACTCAGGATGCAAAATACAGTGTTTCAATCACTTCCCCAAAGTCTATTCTATGATATCAAGCCACAAACTAGGATCACTTTGGTAGGAAGACTGAGTCAGACTGATTTGTCTCCTTCATCTGCCTTCCTCAGTGGGTTTGAGTTTGAAATTATGTGTCATGTAAAAAATTGAATCGAATGGACTGTGTGCAAGAAATACATATCTTTAATACTCACATCATCCTCATTTGGAGTATTAATTCTCACTTTATATTTTATGCCATTTATCTTTGGATCCTGGTTAGGATTTGGTTTCCAATGTAAAAGAACTTTAGATAAACCAGTTACTATAATAGTGAAGTTTACAGGTGGGAGAAGTGAAACTGTTGAATTAAAGGGGAGAAAAAAAACAAAATAATATTCATTTTTATATTGGATATTAAAATGCAGTGACTAAAACCATTGTTCTAAACCAGAGGTTCTTAACCTGTGGCCCATGATTTTTTTAAAATATATAATAACTATTTCAATGTAACTTATTTGCATTTGTAATTCTATGTATTTTATTTTTTGTATTTAAAAACATTCTGAGGAGTCAATAGGCTTCACCAGAATGCCCAAGGGGTCCATGAAACAATAAAGGTTAAGAATCCCTGCTCTAGATGTTGCCTGGCACAAAAATATAAATTATCATTATTAGCTGCATTAGCATAAATAATAATCTATATTAGAAAGCATCTCAAAGTCAAATTTGATTTCTCTATATATTTTCTAATTCAAATAGTTCACCTTTGTTGCTGTTTGTCCTTTATTTACATTATTAAACAATGTAAATTTTGCCATATGATTAACAATTTTTACCCCACTTGTCTATTGTTATCTAGAATGATTTAATAGGCACTGAAAACAAGTTGGTTTTTTAATGCATCACCATCTTCTTTCACTTCTGATTGATTACTCATTTTCCCCAAAATGTCTCTTGGGCTTTGTCTACATGTAAGCAACTGTCTAGTCCATTTTGGTTCTTTAAATCATGTGGCTCAGGCAGACAAAATTTCAAAAAGTTTTCTGCATACAGGCACAGGTCAGTTCTCTCTTCCTTCACCATTAAGTTCAAACTCTTAGGGGGAGATCTAACACTTTGAACAAGAGAACTGAGGGGATCCAAAAAGGTTTTGAGGAGCTAGAATAATGCAGCGATTCTAAAAAAAAGATGAAACTAAGTTGGGTATGGTGATGCACTCCTATTCCTGCTGCTAGGGAGGCTGAAACTGGTAGATTGCTTGAGCTCAGGAATTCTGAGCTACAGTAGGGCTAAAACCAACCAAGTGTCCACCTTAAGTCTGTCACCAATATGATCAGCCCCTGGGAGTGGGGGCCACCAGGCTGCCTACGGAGAGACAATCTTGCCTGGGTCAGAAATGTAGAAAGTCAAATTTTCTATGACCACTAGTGGGATTGTATTACACTTCCAGCTCAGAAGAGATAGAAGGAAGAGAAGGAAGAGGAGGAAGGGGAAGGGGAAAGTGAGGAAGAAGAAGGATAAATATAAAATCCCTATTTCCTGTATGACTCCCATTGAACTTTCATTCTGAAAATAATGGGATACCCAGCAACACAAGGTCAAGGTCAACCATGGGTGTTCATCAGAAATAATATTAAATACGGCAAATTTATTCTTTAACAGATGTTTTAAAAACACACAGTTAAGCTGAAATAAGTCTAGGGTGGGGTAGGGACCGCCCATTCTTCTCGGTGGTTTTCTTTAACACTCCTGCTCCTAGAAGTAGTGTCCCTGAGATAAAGTAACACATCACACTGCCACTGGCAGAGATGAGACAATCCCAGCCCCCTAGGGAAACCACAGAACGTTTGGGGAAGGAAACACACCTGACCTTCAGGCAATGGAGGCCAGAGTAGTATCTATTACAATAGTATATTTAAAGGACATATATCCTGGCACCAACAGTCTCCCTCCAATATTAGATATAGATATAGATACATGCACACACATATATAAACACGTACATATGTGTGTGTGTATATGTGTATATATACACATATATATGTATGTACTCACATGCACACAATTCTCCAGTTGAGGTTCTACTTAAATTAATGTACTCAATTTACTATTACTAAAAAGAGACATACATTTGAACCTCTATAGCTATTACTTACTTTCTTTTTCCAGACATGAATTTGCTTGCAATATCACCGCTGACCCAATGAGGAACAGGAAAATAATCACCATGATGATCATATTCTATTAAAAATAAGAGGTCACACAGAAAATCACCCATAGTGCCTTTTAAAAATCTGACAACTAAATACCATTATACAGTTCAATTTAATCCAATGGATGACATATGCAAACCTTAAAATCCTATGTTACTACTGTTGTTCTTGGTGCTGTTATCTGTTTCTTAGTACATCTCACAGAGGTCTCCTCCAATAAGGTCATCCTCTGATGCCTCCCTAGGGTATGGGTCCTTGAATGGGCCCTGGATACTTAGAGGCTATTTCACAAAAGCAGAAGATATGGCAGGGCCAAAGAAGCTACAAGGGCTGCAAGCACAGGCCTGGAAAAGACCTGAATGTCTGTTGCCCAAGCACCAGCCTAGCTATGTTTGGAAAGACTCATCACCAACTTGGTCACATGATGATGAACTGTTTGGCCACAGCAATGCACAAATAACATCTCCTTAGTGATAAAGAGGCTGTGACCTGTACACAAGTTAGCACATGTTTGCACAGTATAATAGAAGGCAATTAATAACCCAGCAGAGGATGATCTCCAAAAATGAATGGCCCAAAGAGCAGTCCACACAGCTCCTCAACAGAAAGTATACAGTACAGTCACAGTCATTACCTAGAATAGGGTACGAAAGAACAGAACAGGAAGTCAGTCCACATAGATACCCATGCTACATACATGCTGGCAAGAACAAACTTTTCCATAAATAAAAAGACACAGACAGACGAGAAAAAGGAAAGTATTATAAGAAGACCACAGGATACCCATAAATAATAAATATGTCACATGAACAAGCTTTGAGACTATAGCTGGAATGTGTATTCTCTAACAGAACTGCACAGTGTCCCCTTCTCAACATTTGCGACTGACTTTCCTAACCCTCCTTCTACATGTACATACATGTAAACAGACTGCATTATAAAAGACTCAAAAAGGAGACTTACAAAGGGTCAAAAGCCTAGTCATTACCCTTGAAGGGCTTATACTTTAGTGGAAGACTTTAAAGATGAAATGGATAATGGCACAAGGCAACTTATCTCTGCATGCTCCATAAATAGCATAAGTAAATAAAAAAAATAAATATATAATAAGATAAAAGGAGATATTTGTGAAGTGCTTTGCAAACCTTAAAGTATTATATAAATGCTAGCTATTATTACCATGCATTATATATGTACAATAGTGATAATAAACATTATAATCTTCAGAGAAGGGAAAGACAATTACAACAGGAAATAGTCAGGAAAAAAACTTTAATAAAAAAATCATACCTGTGATGAGACTCAATAAAAACAATCTTATTATTCCATTGGTAAGAAAGGGCTGGAGATTACTTGGGGAGAACAGAATAGAAATCTTGGCTTTCTTTTTTGCCAGCTTTGAAATCTAATTTGAAGATTCAGCTTAATCTATAAATACAAAACAACATCCCATTGAGGATTTTCTTTACTGACTTGATCTATAGCAACACTATATAGTATTTTCAGTTACTTATTATAATTAGACTAATTAAAAGAATATAGAGTCTATTTTCTTCAGCTTTTTGAGATGGTCGTGGCTAAAATTGAAATGACATTTATCTGTGAAATGACCTGGAATCAACTTTCCTGATTACTA